ATTTATAAAACACAGTTTTTTTCCCCTTCGAGGGTGAAATAGTCAAAACAAATTCACTCAGGAGTCCATCTGCAACAATAAAGCTAGAGATAAGTTCAAAATAGCAGTACTGCAGGGAGTCTGTCCTTAATTAACTCAGTAAACTACCATCTGGACAGAACATGGACTAATACTCCACCAAACAAACCTACATCAAACTAGCTGCTAATAGAACAAACTATGACGCGTATTTCAAACTGAGAAAACTATATAGAACTCTGAACACAGAGCAAAAACCAGCAAACAAAATGTCTGAGGAGGTGAAGCTTTTGGGTGTATGGGGGAGCCCTTTCAGCCGAAGAGTCGAGCTTGCCTTGAGACTAAAGGGAGTTCCTTATGATTATATCGAAGAGGATCTTTTGAACAAGAGCAGTTTGCTTCTTGAGTCTAATCCAGTGTGCAAGCAGGTTCCTGTGCTCATCCACGGAGAAAAGACAGTAGTCGAGTCTCTGATCATAATCGAATACATCGAAGATACATGGAGTACTGCATATTCTCTGCTGCGCAAGGATCCAATAGAGAGAGCACAAGCGCGATTTTTAACAAAGTTCATCGATGAAAAGGTGATATATAAATAGTTCTTCACGATTAATAGCATTTGTTGCCAATGATCTGTTTGTCTAAAACAATTATGTCTGATAAATAAGTCAACTTAGTTATTTGCAGTACTAAAATTTGTCAAGTACGTACATTATGAGTCTATGAGAAATTCATTTAAGTTACTGCAAGTCGGAACTTGTTATGATACATGCTATCTTAATTTCTTATATATTAGGCTTCAAGATTTTGTCACAATTCTCTTAGTTTTAGTTTTGTTTAGGGGACTGGACCTAGGCGTAGTAGATGCTTGTGGCTTTTCAAGCAGCAGTATCATGGCTAAATCAAATCTCTTTCCATGTTAACTACCAACTCTGATTTATAATTTATTCCCTCGTTTCACCCGTTAAAATATTGGTTACGGTTAGAGCTAAACTATTTTTTGAAAGAAAAGTACAGTTATAGCTAAATTAATCCGAACACGATGTATTTTCTCAAGATAATACAATTCTAATCACTTGTTCATATCTTCAGTGCCTCCCTGCAGTATGGAGGTCATGCTGGAGCCAAGGAGAAGCTCAGAAGAATTTCATGGAGGAATCAAAGAAGAACCTGAGAATTCTTGAGGATGAGCTCAAAGGGAAGAAATTCTTTGGAGGAGAATCCATTGGATTACCTGATCTCGCGGCAAATTTCTTGACAATTTGGACTGATGTCCTCCAAGAAATTGCTGGGATTTGTGTAACAAGTGAAGAAAAACACCCCATCTTATGGAATTGGTCCCAAGAGTTCCTTAAATGTGATGCTGTAGGAAAATGCACCCCTGATAGGCAAAATCTACTTGCCATGTTCCAAGCTCAGAAAGGTGCTAAGATGAACAAGTCACCTTAGTCCCTTTTATTCTGAAAATATGAAGATATAAATACGAGAAAGCTCCTCGTGCACGTTAGTTCAATCGTGCTTTCGGTGACAATATATCAACCCGCAGCAGTATATAAGTATGAATGATAAATATTCGCATATTTATGTGTTGAGAGTATCAACTTGATTAATAAGGAGATTAGTTTACGCTGCCTTATGCTAGAAGAATAAATTGCTGTATTCCCATGCGTTTAGTCTTATATTGGCTAAATACATGGACCCTTGCATGCCTATACTTGGGGAAGTATAAGTGTTTACTTCATATAAATGAGAATAAGACAGTTCAGTTAACTGTTTAACACTCTGAATCAACAGGAACACATGCTTATTGATTTGTTTGTTGAAAAATAATCTAAGTTGATAATTCCAACATACTTCTATGATTGCCGGTCAAACAAGACAGGCACACTTAAATAGCTAAGTATATGGTTCATGATCTCTGCAGTTTTGGCTACTCTTTGTGTACTTTGCCTGCTATCCTCAAATATTTGATGGCGAATTTTTTTTTCTTTATATCTCCTCCCTCAACACTCCCAGGATTTGAACAAGTGAACTTGACCTCAAGGTAGAAGACTTTTCTAATACATGAGCTGAGCTGAAGGGAAAACATTATTCTAGCCTGTTTGGTGAAAACAGAGCCAATGTTGGGGAGGATAGCTATATAATTTGCACGATTCCTGATTCAGTCCTTCAGAAACAGCCTCCAAGCAATTGAGAAGTATTTTTTTCTTTAACTTCGCGGTTTAATGGCAGACTGCAAAGTGTGAAACAAAAAGGCTAATTCGCAGGAACTGTTTGAATGAAAAGATTAGCGGAAGGTGAGGCTGCGCGATGAAGTTAAAGATTGGTCAGGCATCAGCATGGATTATTCAACCAGGAAACTAGCCTTGGTCGAAGAAGATTAGCTTTCAGCTCGGTTCAGAGAACAAAGGGTAATGGACCTTTCGCTGTTTAGATTACCTCCTGAAAGTGTAATTGATTATTGCAGTTCAACACTTTGATCAAATTATGGTTCCCTTTGACCTGGAAGCTCATAGCAGGGGAATGGACTCTTGAAGCTTAGCCGCAAAATTTTCATTCACCGGCCCAGGATGCTTGAACCTATGGTCAACGGATAAGAAACATGCTTCGCAGAACAATTTAGTAACTCAATGCGAAGTGGAAACTAATTTATGGATAAGGATTGCTTGAAGTTTAAGTAAATTTTGAAGTCACAAGAAGTACCGTCTGGTTTTCCCGTGAATAAAGCTCGAAATGAACAATCAAATATTGCATTTACCAATAGGAAACAATCATATCCATGTTTGGTGGTCCAAGGAGATCCATGACAAACAAATAAGCTAAACTGATGCACCACGACAATAAAGATAAAAAAGAGTAAACTTGCACTTAGTTCCGAAAATTTCTAAGCAAAGCTAAACCTCAACAGTTTGCATTAAGTTTGCCAGAATATAATCCAAAGTCATTGTGACATCATTCTGTAGTTGTTAAGATGATTTTTTATCAAGAAATAACTCGTAGTTGTTTTAGGATAGATCCCATCACCTCATACTTGTTATCAATGGGGAAAATTATCCTTTTCCTGCTTATTAAATTTATCAAGGTACCCGCAATTCCTTCTTTTCCCCAGTTGATATCTTTTTCACAATGCAACTTCAAGAAAGAGGACAACCACCCAAAATTAGCACGCAAACGGGCTACATAAAGCACACTGTTGAGGATCAGAACCAAGTAAAAATGGCTAAGGAAGTAAAGCTTCTGAGATTTTGGACAAGCCCTTTCTGCGGAAGAGTGGAGCTTGCTTTGGAGCTCAAAGGAGTTCCCTATGATATCTTTGATGAAGATCTTCCAAATAAGAGCACACTGCTTCTTGAATCCAGTCCAGTTTACAAGGAGGTCCCTGTTCTCCTTCACAAGGGAAATCCCATTATAGGATCGATGACCATCATCGAATACATTGATGATGCATGGGGTGGACATCCCATACTTCCCAAGGATCCATATGAGAGAGCTCAAGCTCGATTTTTCGCCAAGTTCATTGATGAAAAGGTCTGATAACATGCTTGCATCTGTTAATTCTAAATTTCTAACTATCCCTTTATAATTTCATATTACATCTTTTCCTACCCTGTAAGTTTAAAAACCTTCAAATAGTTCCACTCAAGTCAAAATAAAAGATCGCAAGAAGGGGCCTCTACCATATTAAGAAGATTTTTTTCTCTCTCCTATTATATAAAGGGAGAAAATGTTAATTATCTATCTTAATTATTCAAATAAATAAGGAAAAAAAGTTGAAACAATTTGCAACATAAAAGCCATAGTTGGGGTCATCAAATATAGAAATCCATATGTAATCAAACAAGCTAAGTTCAAGTACGCTGCATATTCACATACAAACTGCTAGGGCACAAGGGTCACTGCTACTAAAAACATAAGAAACTCTTTCATTATTGAAAGGGTTTCCTCTTGATGTACTTAATTACATGGAGGCAAGTCTTAGAATTGGTTGAGTTTTAAATTCAGAACTAGAAGTAAACATACGCCAGAATAAAACTGATGGCTCAATTTTTATTCCTCATACATTAATTCAAAAGGCATGCCCTTCAAAAAAAAAAAACTAATTTTGTCCTAGCAAAAATAAATTATGTTTTCTGAAATGATAAAGTTGAAAGTCTTGTATTCAGTGCATTCCTACATTTCGGAATTCATTCTGGAGTGAAGGCGACCTGCAAAAGTCATGTCTGGAGAAATCAAAGGAGTACCTGAGCATTCTAGAAAAAGAGCTTAAAGGTAAGAAATTCTTCGGAGGGAATTCTATTGGATATCTAGATATTGCTGCAGCCTACATTGCTCATTGGGCTGGAGTTTTCCAAGAGGTAGCAGAAGTCGATCTCTTCGATAAGAAAAACCACCCAATATTATGGAAATGGTCTCAAGATTTTGTAAATTATGATGTTTGCAAGAAATGCTTGCCACAGAGAGAAAAACTTTTGGCTTTCTTCCAACCTCGAAAAGAAGCCATGAAAGCTTATGTCAAGCCTTCTGCAGTTTGATTGGTTGGTTGCAACTAGAAGATTGACAGTATTTGCATGCATGGTTTTGAATAAATGAGGAATGAAATCTCTTTTCTGTGAGCTCAATAAATAAGAAAGGATACGGGGGTCTTCTCCAACTGTGTCAAAGTTTTATCTGATGTTCGTAAAAGTGCCTTATTATGAATTGAGTACTTCTCATTTCCTTATCTCTCGGATCCTGTCTGATTTCTAAGTTCAACTCCCTAATTCCCCCCCCCCCCCCCCCAAAAAAAAAAAAAAATAATAATAATAAAATAAAAAAAAATAATCATGTGAATTTTTCAGTTTTCTTTTGAATATCTTCCAACTTGTCTGCTTCTGCTATTATTGTACATTAATACCACAAAAAGAAAATGATGCAGTTGATATTCATATACACGTTCATTTGTAAACCTCATTTGCGCTATCAATGTATTTTCAACTCTATAAATTAAAGTTAAGAGCATTAGATATGACATATCCAAAGCAAAACTTGTAAAGAACCCTAAAATCACCTACATGGCGATTGAAACATAAACGAGCTTGTTGCTGAAGAAAATAAAAACTATCTAATCAGTGCTCTGGTAAGGAGATCATCAAACTATAGTGTAGATGTCAAAAATTACCTATAAGTCCCAAACACAGCTCAAGATGAAGAGAAGACGAAGAACGTCATTATATAAGTCAGAGAGGACTAGCCAAAACAAAAGGAAGCAAAGAATAACGCAAAATAGTGCAAAAGGAGACTTGGAGCTGTCTCATAGTTGGTGAGACAACGTCCAATGTCTCGCATTTGCGAGATAGTGTTCACTGTCTCGCATATGCGAGACAGTGAGAGTTGTCTCACCAACTGCGAGATAGAATCTCATGTTTGTTGACAGTTTTATCGAGTTTTGCGGGGTCCATTGGGCTCTATAACTGCTTGGGAACGTTCATTAATATTAATGGATGGTTACATCCTAAAAATATGCTCATTACCCACGAAAATTACAACGTTTAACGTAATTTAAGGTAGGGGCGGCGGTTACAAATGCTCTGCCACTGTCTCCTTTAGCCGAGACAGTGGACACTGTCTCGTCTAAAGGAGACAGTGACCACCAAGTGTTTCAACTTCTTTTCGATGGTTATGGCTCCCAATGGCTATATATACCACCTCTACACACTTGTGCATGAGAAGGAGATGACCAAGGGCGTAATTGAGCAGAACCAAACTGGAATTGGGTGAACTTTGAGAGCAAGAGAGAGAGTTCCTCATCCACTTTCAAGCATACCAACAGCCTTCTGGTGTCATCCTTGAGTTCAAGCTTGGACTTTTTTTGACAAGAGTATTCATCTTATTTTGCTAAGATATTTACTTCAGTTCTTGCTTCCTCGTTGAAACATTAACTTTCGCCTTCTTCGTATCCGATTTGGAACATTGATTTGGTGGTCCACGGATAACGCATTCTCGACATAGGCAAAGATCCCACACAAGCAGAAGCTACTACGTAGGAGTTTCTGTGTGTGCTTCTAGGGAATACATTCTTTTATTTCTTTATAAAGAAGAGTTATACACGTGTAAAGCTCATTCATTTGTTTCTATTGAACGATTTAATGGAAACTACAAGGAAATTTGTTCCCAACGCAAACATGCTGGAGACCACAGTGGGAGCCATCAGTCCCGGCGTCGAGATTGTAGTGTCGTAGCGAGCATCATTCAAGTCGGATCGATGGTCGAATACGAGTTCGACCAAGCTAAGTTCGAGGAGTATCTTTCCTCGTCTTCATCAAGGTCCTCTTCTCCCCGTAAGTGCAGGAGGATCTCGTTTACAAAGAAGGTTTATCAATCTTCTACGTCAAAGAAGACTCAGGGTGATGACTCTCGCCCAACGGTTGTTGAGACTTCACCTCGCAACATTGTCCCGGTAACCAACAAAGCCGAACTCTAGTTAAGGAGTCGCCCAATGAAAGTTCGCCAACTCTGACGAAGAGGGCTCGTCAGAGGCAACACTAGCGCAAGGCCCGTCAATTTGCTAAGGCCTTAGAACAAGTGGATGGAGTTCGCTATTACGCGGACTTAGAGTCAAGGAAGCGTCAAGCAACCAAGTCACTACAGCAGCGTGTCGCTGACACTTCCTCCAAGCTATCAACCGAGGAATGAGTTCTGGTCAAGAGGACTCGTTCAACGAAGAAGGAGCACATCTAGAGGCGCCGCGCTCGTGCCGTGCACGCTCGTGCTCTTGTGCGAAAAGCATAAGAATTGAAGAAGAAAGAGTTGGCCAAAGAGTTGCCAAAATCCCACAGAGTTTGGATTCCAAAAGCCAAACTTATGCAAAATCAAAGTCCGGAGACGGCAGATTCTGTCCCCTTCAGTTTCAAGACCTTGTCCCATTCATGTTAAAATATAGCATATTTTGCCATCCCTTTCCTTCTCTAATTAAGGAACAAATATTCCGTCCGAGAGCAATTCTTCATCATTACAATCCATCTTTATAGGAAAATTTCTAGACTTTCTCCAAGACATTTTACCATTTACTTGCTATGTCATTGAGATACTAAGTCTAATATCAGATATCTGTCAAGATGACCTCAAAAGGTTTCCTCAAAAAATATCATTACCATATGCACCCAGGGGCACCCTTTTTTTTACCCCATGAAGTCCCTAGTTTTATTGGCAGCATTTAGCTGTTGGCATCCTACTCCCCATTCAGAACAACCCCTCCTAAAATTTGGAGGTTTTCCAGATAACCCCTGTAACTAATTTAATTTCATAAAACCTCCTGAACTTTGAGGGTGTTTTGTACATAACCCCTTGAATTTCTTATATTCCACTAAATCCCATGGAAGATTTTTCACTTTGAACCCCCAAAGTAAAGCTGTCAAGACTAATGTGCCATTTGTCAGGCTCATGACCAAAGAGGGCAAAAATTCCCTCCATTAGTTAAAAATAATAATGGAAATAGTAAAAAGGATAAAAGAGCGATTTTGACTGTTGAGTGGTATTTTTATCTTTTTTCGCTGTTTTTTGGAATGTATCAAGTTAGAATCGACGGTGTTACTTGGGGGTTAAAGTGAAAATTTTTCACGGGTTCTAGTGGAATAAGAGAAGTTGAGGTGTTATGTGCAAAACCCTTCAAAGTTTAGAAGGTTTTATGGAATTAAAATAATTAAGGGTTTATCTGCAAACTCCCAAAAGTAAGGGCTGTTTTCTTAAACTAGCCAAAAGATTTACATTTTATTATTCCTCTTTATGTCTTTTGATGATTTGGTTATGCAATTATACTGTTGTTATAAACTGTAAGTTTTTCTTGGCAATCAGATCCTCTACTTTATTGTTTTAACGATGATTCTCTACAGACTAGAACTCAACAATCTTCTCCGGTTTTTCTTGAATCCAATAGACTGATGAGGAAAATGCCGATCATTATCGAGACGTTGAAACTAGAGAATACTGGGTTAATGGGTATGAGCTGGCAGCTCATTTTGCAAAATGAGTTACCAACTCGCTGCCATGTGAGCCCCACCCCTATGTGACTAGCAGGAGTACTCACATGGCATTGAGCTGACAGCCTATGTTGCAAAATGGGCTATCAGCTCATATACATTTTTTTCTTAAACTATACATTTTGTTCAATAGTGATTGTTACATAGCCTTTTGCATTTAACATGAAATCTGTAATCTTGTTGCAGGTCTCTAATGCTATTCCTCTTAAAGGTGGCTCTCCAAAGTTTGCTCAAAAAATACAGCTGATTGCAGACGCGTATGAAGTGATCTAAGTTTATGAGTAAAAACAAAAAACAAAAACAAAAAAAAGGGAAAATATCACATTTCCCTATTTTTCTCCTTTTTATTTTGCCAACAGCTTCGGTGCTCCCAAGCAGTTGGTATAGTTTGTTTCCTTAAAAATCTCTCTCACATTCTAAATTTGAGGGATAAGGTAGTTGACAGTAGTTCCACACCCAAAAAAGTAATTTCACTTAGATAAAAAGGTTATTTTAGGAAGTATAAATAAGAAGATAAATAGGAAGTAGTTAGAATTCTCCAACTAATGAAAAACTCCCGGAGTCTTTATTTTTTTGACGTGGTTTTCTTCTCCAATTCCCTAATTCATTGCGCGAATGGCCAAACCTAATGGAATTTAATTTTTGATATGGTCATCGATCCTATGAAATACTTCATACGAGCGTCTTCTTTCTCTAGAGTATTGAGCCCGAGATCATGAGTGTCGCCACCAGGCCAATCTGACTGGAAATAAATTCTTTTTGCATGGAGGAACTGTATGTATGAGTCCGGCATTAATTGGCTTTCTCTTAGGCCTTGGGAACCTTCATTCGATTAATTTTCAACTAAACAACTGAGATTTTGAATGAACATGATTGCTTTGTTTAAGTTCATCAACATGGTTGATGGTCGATTTTCTTCGGATCCAATTTCCTTGTATCGCATTCAATCACATGTTAGATTTCTTGTTGATATCTTTATTGAGGAATTTTCTTAGTGTAATTCACCTATGATTCTATTTAAACGGATTTATACGCGTTTGATGGAATTCTGTGGATGAGAAATTGGTGGGGACGAAGATTTTTTTTGTTTTTTATTTACCCTTTTTTAAAAATAAATTAATAAACGATTTTAGGAGCACCGAAGCAAAGCCCTTTTATTTTTGTGACTTAGAATATAAAAGGGTCGATTCTGCATTATTTGATCCAAAAATTGGTTCCGTTTTTGTTGAGAATATATAATAAGAAATCAAAGGCCTTTGCAAATGAAGGCATTTGATGAATTTTGACCAGAGATTACCTTGGGTTGATTCTGAGATTGTTACTGTGTACTTTGATAACGTGCTCACATTTGTTGAATAACATAAGTAAAAAAATAAAAAATAAAAAATAGCCTTAACATGATTTTGAGATGTGGTTAACACACTTTTGTTTTAATTAGTGGTTAACACACTTCCATGTCTGTTATCGGTGAACTTCAAATTTCCCCCCTCTTAGCATCACAGACTCGAAGTTTGTGAATAGTTTTAAGGGTTATTTGCATATATAGCCCTTAAAATGGATATTTATAAAACCCCACAAATCTTATTATCCAAACTACCCTCCAAATCAACAACTTTGGGGGGTTACCTTACAATCAACAAATTATTAACTGGATGAGTAGATATCTGACTTTTTTTGGATAATTTTTACATTGCAGTTGCAAATTAACATGTAAAAGTTTATGATTGATTGATTAGGGGGGATTTTTTTCAAAATTAATCATTTGAGGGGCAATTTTGCAAATCCTAAGGTTTTTTTCTTTTTGTGTGCGCATGTGTGTGAATATCCATGATCTAAGGAGTATATATGCTATTAACCATAGTTTTTAACATGATCAAAAGCTAAAATATTGCACTCCTATTAAAAAAACTAAATAATATTGTTTTTCCCTTTTCCCAGACCAACACGACATGAATATCTCAATATGAATATAATAAAGTAGCAAATATTGAGCTTTGTTTTAGTGAAACGGTGAGTAGACTCACTATAACATACGGATTTCTCCAAACAAAACTTAACCTATTTGTAGGGCAATAAATTGTTATGGTTTTGGTCGAAACAGTAAACATGATATGTTCCTATAATTTTATTTTTGATAAACCAGAAAAACCACTATTAAGCCTTAGCCTTGGTGTTTTTGCACACAAAATCCCCCCTCAACTTTATAAATTAGAGAAAAACTACTAAAATCGCAATTATAGAAAAACTTTTGAAATGTAAAATTTGTGATAAATGATAAAAGGTCTAGTATCTATCAACTCTAATCTTAAGAACTCTAAGAAAAAGGAAATATAAGAGCAAAATTGTTCAAAACATGTCAAATATGAAACACATGATAACTTAAACTAACTGCCATCAGTGATGTCATTTTGGTGAAACAAGTTTCGAGGCATTTTCACTAACTAAGAAAGCTCGCGATTTTTTCCAAAATTTATGCCACCTTGGTGCCCACGTAGCGCCCAATATTTCTTCTATTATTTTTTTTTGGGAAAAATGCTTCCAGCCCCCAAAAGCCAAGTGAACGTGCTTCCCACCCCCAAGACTTAGTCAATGTGTGTTTTACCCCTAAAAATAAAGATTGTGTTCTCTGAACCCCCAAAACACAAAACCCAAGACATTAAAACATGTGAAGACCATAATACCCTTCTCTCTCTCTTTCTTTTTTTTATTAAAATATGATGAGGATTATTTTATTATTTCTCTCTCTCTCTCTCTCTCTCTCTCTTTATCATGATGTACCAAGAGGATAGTTGAAATGATTGATGATGATTATTTTATTATTTTTATTTTTTATTATTTTCGTTGTTTGTATTGGGAGGTTGTTAAAGTTACGGGTTGATTGTTAAGGTTACGGGTTGGTTGTTAAGGTTAAGGGTTTGTTGTTAAGGTTATGAATCCTCTCTCTCTCTCTCTCTTTTTTTATTAAAATATGATGGAGATTATTTTATTATTTTTGTTTTCTCTCTCTTTATCATGATGTACCAAGAGGATAGTTGAAATGATTGATGAGGATTATTTTATTATTTTCGTTTTTATTATTTTGGTTGTTTGTATTGGGAGGTTGTTAAAGTTACGGGTTGATTGTTAAGGTTACGGGTTGATTGTTAAGGTTAAGGGTTTGTTGTTAAGGTTATGAATCCTCTCTCTCTCTCTCTTTCTTTTTTTATTAAAATATGATGGAGATTATTTTATTATTTTTGTTTTTTCTCTCTCTTTATCATGATGTACCAAGAGGATAGTTGAAATGATTGATGAGGATTATTTTATTATTTTTGTTTTTTATTATTTTGGTTGTTTGTATTGGGAGGTTGTTAAAGTTACGGGTTGATTGTTAAGGTTAAGGGTTGGTTGTTAAGGTTGTGAATCCTCTCTCTGTCTCTCTCTCTCTCTCTCTCTCTATCATGATGTTTCTTTGATGATATAAAATGATTAAAGAGGATTATTATTTTATTATTTTTATTTTTTTATTCTTTTTGTATTTTTAGAATATTCGTTGTTAAGGATAATGGTTGGTTGTAAAGGTTATGCATTGATTGTTAATGTTACGGGTTGGTTGTTAAGGTTAAGGGTTTGTTATTAAGGTTACGGGTTTGTTGTGTAGGTTACAGATTTGTTGTTAAGGTTACGGGTTTAATTGTTAAGGTTAATAAAAAACAAAAATGATAAAATAATCCTCATTAATCATTTCAGCTATCCTCTTGGTATATCATGATAAAGAGAGAGAGAAAATAAAAATAATAAAATAATCCCCATCATATTTTAATAAAAAAAGAAAGAGAGAGAAAGGATTCACAACCTTAACAACAAACCCTTAACCTTAACAACCAACCCGTAACCTTAACAATCAACCCGTAACTTTAACAACCTCCCAATACAAACAACCAAAATAATAAAAAACGAAAATAATAAAATAATCCTCATCAATCATTTCAACTATCCTCTTGGTACATCATGATAAAGAGAGAGAGAAAACAAAAATAATAAAATAATCCTCATCATATTTTAATAAAAAAAAAGAGAGAGAGAGGATTCATAACCTTAACAACAAACCCTTAACCTTAACAACCAACCTGTAACCTTAACAATCAACCCGTAACTTTAACAACCTCCCAATACAAACAACCAAAATAATAAAAAACGAAAATAATAAAATAATCCTCATCAATCATTTCAACTATCCTCTTGGTACATCATGATAAAGAGAGAAAAAAAAATAAAAAAATAAAATAATCCCCATCATATTTTAATAAAAAAAGAAAGAGAGAGAGAGAGGATTCATAACCTTAACAACAAACCATTAACCTTAACAACCAACCCGCAACCTTAACAATCAACCCGTAACTTTAACAACATCCCAATACAAACAACCAAAATAATAAAAAACAAAAATAATAAAATAATCCTCATCAATCATTTCAACTATCCTCTTGGTACATCATGATAAAGAGAGAGAGAAAATAAAAATAATAAAATAATCCCCATCATATTTTAATAAAAAAAGAAAGAGAGAGAGAAGGGTATTATGGTCTTCACATGTTTTAATGTATTGGGTTTTGTGTTTTGGGGGCTCAGAGAACAGATTCTTTATTTTTAGGGGTAAAACGCCCATTGACCAAGTCCTGAGGATGGGAAGCATGTTCACTTGGCTTTTGGGGGATGGAAGCATTTTTCCCTTTTTTTTTCTCTCCTGCAAAGAAGAAGATGAGGTTGATTTTGGTATCATTTGTCGAAGACCTAGAAAAAATCACTCCTAAAAACTAGATAATAGAGGAAAACAACACATACCTTTAACAAATCCATATTAACTCTCCATTTATAGTGAAAGTGAGAATCAATGAACATTCGCATCACTCCCGTGGTTTCAGTCATTTTAGAGGTGCTTTATCTACAATAAGGAAAAAATAAAATAAAAATTAAAACTATGACACCTATATAGATCTGTCTTATATTGTTACTTATATTGCTACTGTAATTCCCATTTTTGCATGCTTTTTGCATTTGTATTCTGCTTATCACCTTAGTTTGTGGAGGGAATATTGAATATGGTTCCACAATCTCCCTCTAATCAAGGGAAGAGATGCTGCATGAAAGCTGCCCTCACCTTTTATTGGCTTTCACCACAAAAGATGTTGGCATAGTGACCACTATATAAGTTATATTCTTCATCCACACCCCAAATTAAGAAAAACCTCCTGTCGAGAGATCCTACCAAGTACAAATCAGAGAAGGATCAGATGCTTGAGAAGAATTACACATTTACAAAAGAGGATTGCAGTGTTCAGTCAGGAATTTGAACAAATTAGAAGCATTTTTTTTTCTTCCCCCCCCCCCGGAACTAAACAGATGAGATTTTACAAAAGAGGGTTGCAGTGCTCAGTCAGGGATTTGAAGCTTTCAAATGCTTCGGCCAGCTTGCGCTAGAAAAAAGTTTTTTAAAAAAAAAAAATCTTAGCCACTGCTCCATGAACATCAATGTGGCATACACCACACCAATAGGAGGAGGCCGTGTAGCACAGACCGCTTGCGAATGGTAATGACAGCGAAGGGGTGGTTTGTGCTACATGGTCTCCTATCGGAGCGGCGTATGCCCCATGGTGCTCTTGGAAACTAGTTTAATGCAAAGTCAAAATGGAGATATCCAACGGTGGCGCCAAGATGTGGAAGCGTCTCCATTTAGTCCCACACTGACTAGGTGAAGAGCCAATGTGGTTTATTTAATTCGTACCCTATATTTTTTTAACTAGATCAGGGCTTAGAATTGAGTTCTTCTAGGTGTGTAGCAACTAATTGCAGGACAATCCACAATCATTTCTCCTCATCCTTTGTCTTTGGATCCAATATAGATATGGTACAGCAGAAAGTATGCCTTGCTTGCTTCGTACTGTATTCTATATTCCTGGGTACAAAGTTAATATAAGCATATATGAATTGAACATACATTAAATTATAAGCAGGTATGAATTGAACATAAATTAAACATAAAGGAGAATAATGGTCCGGTGAGCTCGCTCCCTGCTCAATGGTCCGCATAGAAACACTCTTTTTAAGTGTTGTGCATTTATTTCTGTAATTATTAAATCAAGTTTACGTGTAGCATATGTTTTTCTCGCATTACAAGCAAGCGCTCTACCAATAATCTCAAACTTCTTAAAAATATTGTTTGTAAGTCCTACGTCAACAATCACCAGTAAATTGAGGAATTTGATTAAGGATCCTAGGCTTGAGATGGGACTACTGACTTTGCAAGAGGGGGGAAAAATGAAAGAGAGAAAACTATAGTGCTTTTAATCACATGTTTCAAACTAGACCAAGCAAAAGAGAAATGTCCAACTCAAAATCTAAACACACATAGATAGATAAAGAGCCCTTGAGCTGAACGATGATAATTAGAGTGGCTCTTTAGTGAGTTATTTCAGCCTATCAAGTTTGAGATATGGCAACTCATCTTTTGTTGCTAGGGGCAAAGAATAAGCCTACAGTTTTTGACCAAGTAGGTTCAAAAGAAAGCATCAATAGCAACGGATAGATGCTTCTTTTGATTTAATTTCTCCCTTTTTTGCCTTTTTTTTTTATTTTATGGTGGGCGCCTACCGATTTGAGATTCCAAAATCCTAATTCCATGCGCATGAAATATGGATTCCCAATCCTCACCACCCTTTTTTCCAAGTATTTTGGCTATGATAGCAAAATAAAATTCAACAATATCAAATTTCTTATAAAGAATATAAGAAGAATAGGAATAAGAATACTCCTAAAGCACAGGCTAATGTATAAGAGCAAGTCATCACGCTCCACGTCCATATTCGATACCAGAAAGAAAAGAAAGGAATAAAAGAAACTATAACAAGAAACAAATAATTTAACAAGCATATGGTTTTTCATTATGATCACTGTGGAAGTGTTTCTCTGCATATAAGTATATTAATTTCATTTTCCGCAATAGATTTCAACAATAATGAACACTGTAAAACAATGCAGATGCACAGTGTCTCACCAGAAACACTCCAGTATTGAGCGGAGAAAAGGAGTAAAATAGACATGAACTCCTTACAAAATATTCTTTTCCTTGGAGGACACAGATTCCTTCAGCTTTGCTCAAGGGGAGAATTTATCAACATATGATTGTTTCCATGGAGGAAGAGGCAGCGAACATATGCGATAATGAGTGATATAGAAACATCAGCATATGATAGGAGCTCTGAACACTTGGACATAACTGTTGCATATTAAATGAAGCTCCTGCTAGTGAGATATTCGCCATGACCCCAAATGTGGTATGTTGTGATAAGGAACATATTTGTGCCAATCTCGTACTCTTTGTTTACAATTCAAGAGAATCATATCAGGCCTGGAATATAAAAATATCAAGATGTGCATTTGGGCTAGTTGGTCGCACTTAAACAGGTGGAACAGACACAAAGCATCTATTAATCGAAATTATCATTTCAATGTCTCTTCGTAATCAGGAGCATATATCTAATCTTTGCAGGATATGCTTCACCACAGAAAACAATACAAGGCGTGTGGTCTTAGCTGCTTTACTTATTGTCATTCCTTCAAGCTCCCAAGCATAACTGGTAACTTGCGCATAAAATTAGCATAAACATGCAAGGATATGCATTTGTTTCTTATACATACTACACTACACGCATATGATGCAGATAAATATATGCATATCTACGTACAAACATATATACAAACAAACATGCATGTATGTCATAGGGATGAACATTAAACAACATGCAGTTCTCGATATGGTGGTTTAAGGACAAGTCATTACCCTGTAATACTGGTTTACCTTTCTTCCCTAAATTCTCTAAACAAGTAACAAAACCAAGAACCTGAAATGAATCCACGAAAGTAATATGTTACTGATGACTACCTTACAATTACACATGTAAAAAGCTCACAAGTAAAGTGGGTGGAGAAAGCATATATAAGCAGAATATTCTCATGTCCCAATCTCAGACCCTGCATACAAAGAAGTACAGAAATGTGCTCAGACAAACATAATTATGCAGCCAATATATATTTGAAGTAGACGAAAACATTAGTCGGACATATGGGTTTATATATGGAACACCGAAAGATACCCAAACAAAGCTAACGAAGGACAAGTGGTCCTAAACACAAGAGGAAGTATGAAAACAAGTACACTATTTCTCTTCAATTTTGTTAGACAGTCTAAACCCAAGTGGGAAAATTCTAACTTCTCGGCAATGATAGGCTGTGGGTTCCCTTCCCTTCTTTTCTTCAGCGCGCCTAGTTGAATAAGTACCAAACTTGACAGAGGAGACAAAAGAGAATCACATGCTCATTCTATATTCCATTCCTTGCTTTATGGCATTCCCAAGAGAGCATCAACTCAAAGAACAATATTTCTGTTTTTAAAAGATGTATCTAATTCTGTTTCTCGAATGCATCCAGTCAATGGATTCTTCAAACCTTTTCCTATCAGCAACTAAAAACCTGAAATGCCTGAGTTCTAATCCACTCCTATCTCGTGGTCCCAATGCAGAATCTATACCCATTGCATTAACTTATATTGCTCTGGACCTTGATCAGGATCCTCTAAGCATCATGAATCAACCCCAGACGAGTCCATTCCAGTTCAGAAACAAAACAATGTTTCCACGTGCTAGGGACCCAAGCGCTGAATTCTTACGAACAGCTTCAGAATCTGGTACTTTTGCAAGCTATGAAGCCATCAGATGACAGCCTTTAGCTCACAAAAATTCTCTTCAAGAGAATAAGGTTCCTTCTTTTACTTTCAGGGACCAATTCATGTAAAGAAGGGATTTCGATGGACCTATTCCTCCACATAGATGACAGGTGAAAGCTGCTCTGCTAAAAAGACTTCAGTGCAGAATAAGAATGGAAGTGTTTGGCCTGAGAATTGACAGTAAAAAGTTGCAGGTGAGGGGTCCACAGATACCTAAAGTGAGAAGGACAAGATCTCTTTTTGAGTTCCTGGGAAGATTGGATTAGGTTGAGTGTTCCGTTTCAAAGATTCTTCAAACTTCCTTATAAAGAGAGCTCGAATACAACCTCACCATCGTGAAGTGAAGGCTGAGAAGCTTTAGTTCATTTTATAGGCAATATGAGCATTTAGGACATAAAGATACCCAAGTCTTGGTTTTCCAGAAACCGTCAGCTGACAGCATAGAAGCAAATTAAGGCGTAAGAGGCACAGATTTTACGTGGATAAAGATAGCAAACAAGAAAAGGGAAGAGTTAAATCATAGGTAAGATCATTCTTCCCCGTGTCACTTTGAGTTTAACATGCTAATTTTAGCCGACTCTGATATGGTTGTCTTTCCATGTGCAGGGAAAATGTACAATCATCATCACCATCAAGGTAGCAACAATTTAGTTTCTTCACGGACAGCTTTTCCTTCAGAAAGACATTTATTTCTACAAGGAGGAACTGTACAAGGAGAGTCAGGACTCGTTCTCTCGACTGATGCTAAGCCGAGATTGAAATGGACCCCAGAGCTCCATGAACGATTTATCGAGGCAGTAAATCAACTTGGAGGAGCAGATAGTAAGTATACAAAGGAGATGGAAAGCACAGATCCAAAAGCATGCTTTGGCTGAGTGACAAACTAAAGACATAATGTTACTAATTTGAAAATCCTCATTTTGCAGAGGCGACTCCCAAAACTGTAATGAGGCTCATGGGAATCCCAGGATTAACTCTTTATCATCTAAAAAGTCATCTTCAGGTACTAATAGGCTAATAATAGCAAATCCTTGCTCTGAAGTTATTATCAGTTTCGTTAACAGGTTACTAAATTGACTATTCGCCTGCAGAAGTACAGACTTGGTAAAAATCTACAGTCTCAGGCTAATACTGGGTCCCCAAAGAATGGTAAGAGGCTCTCTGAATTTCATTTTCTTCAGTGGATAATGCATGTGGTATAACATGGATTCTTGGTTTCAGCTGTAGGTTGTACTCAAGTAGCAGATAGGATACCTGAAGACAATGGGCTCGCAGGCAACATGAACATGGGAGTCCAGCCAAACAAGTAAGAATCAATATAATAATTTTTTTTTAATTGAAGATCAAAGTTGGAATAAACAATGTACGTCTGAACCTCAGGACCATTCACATCAATGAGGCACTTCAGATGCAAATTGAAGTGCAAAGAAGGCTTCACGAACAGCTTGAGGTAAGCCATTGAAGTCACCTTTTCAGGTTAACAAAACGGGAGTAAAACAATTTCAAAAGAATTGGGACACCAGAATGCTTTCTTTTAGTCATGAACCAAATTAAGCTATGTTTTCCTGTTTGGCTGTTTCCATTAGAAACCCATATTGGATTTAGTGAGGAACTGAATAATCCCAATTCATCTGAATTGACATCTAAATACATATAGGAATATCCCATTTAGCTCTTCGGTTTAGATAGTCAAACTTTTGTTCGAGTAGATTATTTGACAAGATTTTCAATAAATTTAATGTAATTATGTTTCCAGAGACTCACAATAAGTGTTGCAGAATTTCAAACATTTAGTTCGTTCAATTCTATCGACAAAAAAAACTCACTGTTCCCTAACTGAAAAATAAAACATTTTTGATATTGACAGGTGCAAAGACACTTGCAGCTGAGAATAGAGGCACAGGGAAAATATTTACAATCAGTGCTGGAGAAAGCCCAAGAGACTTTGGGGAAGCAAAACTTGGGTTCTGCAGGACTCGAGGCTGCCAAAGTGCAACTGTCGGAACTCGTCTCCAAAGTTTCAAATGAATGTTTTAGCAGTGCGTTTCCTGGTGTGGAGGAAATTTCAAGTTTACACACGCTGCAACCACACCAAGCCCAACTTGCAGATTGTTCAATTGATAGTTGCCTAACCTCATGTGAAGGATCACAGAAGGACCAAGAAATACACAATATAAGTATAGGGTTGAGAGCATTTCATGGAAACCCACCCCTCTACACACAACAAACGGGAGATGACATGCGGCTTGACCAGTCTCAATCTGCATGGTGTGAAGACTTGAATGACCAAAAGATGTTTTCTTCAACAATAGTGAAAGAACCAGAAAGGACGATTTTCTCAGTCCCGAGAGATCCTAGTATTTTATCAATGAACATTACACCCCAAAGAGAAAAAGAAGGCAGTGGGAGAAT